AGTGCTTAAGCGAATCAATCCAATAAGAGAGGAGATGACAGAAACTAGAAGGTAAACAACAACACCGGATTGAAGGGAAAAAAATTGAAATTCTATGAAATGGAAATAACTTCACAACAAATGCAATGGAATGGATATGCACAATTAAGTGACGTAAATGAACCTTTCCAGAGTTTCGAACCCGTTTTTATTCACTGGAAGGTAGCGTTTATAGTAAGGTGTGGTGTTATATCAATACACTATACCGTATAGTACATATAATAGCTCCTTCAGCTGAAACCGTCTGAAAGTTAGCGTTTTCCTTCCAAATATATGACTTTAGGAGGATATGTATGTTCCAAACAGATAATTTGAAACTTGAGCAATATGTAGAAGAGGAATGAGGCACAAGCAACGAATGCACTCAGTGAGGCAACAAGGATCACCTGAAAGGAAAAAGGTTTAAGAATCTTATTAGAATGAGTACAACTCGAGTTTTATTGGAGTAATAGCGATGGCAAATAGAAATTCTGGCATTTTTGAGTCATGCATCGAACATTCAACGTTATTCAGAATCGCAGTAGAGATTGAATGCCCCCCCCCCCTTGACATCTGAAAGATAAGGGNTGGCATCTGAAAGATAAGGGCGATACGGAATATTCTCGACCTCTCTCGACCTTGGTCTGCTCCGATATTACTATAAATCCTGCTTCCTTCACTCAAAAAAGATGTTCTAAGACTACCACCACTTCTACTTTGCCCTTTTCTTATTTCTCTTATTTTTTTTTGTTGCGGTTAAAATCGAAACATAGAGAGTTCTTACAACTTGTACTGAGGAAATCGGTATCGCTTCATAAAAAAGTCGTCTGGGTTGGTACAACCATTTTTGAGGGATATGGGCTGTTGCCAATTTTTTTCTATAAGGCCAACGACTTGAGGGGCTCAGCGTCACTTGAGGGAAAGCAGTAGGCTAGGCTTGATCGAAAATTCGATCCTCAGACCTTAAATGTGAAAGTGACCCCTTTAAAACTTTCCTACCTCCACCTGAAAGCTTTGTATAGAACTGGAATTTTATTCCATGAAGGAATCGTGCAGTCTTCAATGATAGGATGACGCTAACGACCTCACTGACTCCCTAGACTTTGTTGAAGTTGAATGAATCTCCCCATTTTCCAACTCGAACCCCCCAACACAAGGAAATATTGAAAAAAGAAAGGAGCGATGATAATCATAGCCCTATAAAGAATTTTTTTTTCTAACATCAAAAAATATCATGCTCAGTGTGTCTTCAAGAACTCGTCCTGAACCAGTTCTTCTACCGTATCCTATGGAATTTGATTCCCTGTCATTTGAACTTCGAGGAAAAGTTTATGGCTATTGTCGGGAAACATCAAAAAAGAAATTTCTGCTATAGCGAATATTACAGTTTGATTCAGTGGAATGTTTTTGTTTTCCCAACTAGTTCCTGTGGGAGAGGAAATTGCGAAAAGTAATTACAACTTACCCATCCTTGGATTGCAAAGCAACAGTCAGTGTTGTGCACCCCGCAACAGTTGTACTGGTGAAAAGCTGATGCCTCCCGACATTGTGTATGTCTGGAAATGTTACCAACCAGTGAAATGAATAGTATTACACCAAAAACAATAAATATATCAAATTTTGAGCAGATAAGCCATCGCAGGGTATTTTGTACCACTAAGCCCAATCTTTTTCTCGAAAAGTGGTCTACTGGTCATCCAAGGATCCCACTTTTCAACTAGGCTCCCTATTGTTCCCAATTATCTGCACAAGGTCCTAAGTATTTCGCTATCAAGAGTTTAAGTGGATGGAAGCCGTTCAGCCCACGGTGAGCCTTCCTTCCCCCACCACGCTGTGAGAAGAAACCAGGTTCTTCAGAGGGAGTGAAGTGGTCTTTTTAGGTTCCTCTAGAGGTAGCTGCCCAGGTTATTTGGCTTGTAATGATTCCTGTAAACTTACTGATTAACTGTGAAGTTACGGCACCATTGCCCCAGGTTCTTCTCTTTCCAAGTGGTGGGCTTTGGCATTTTGAGCTTGGTCTCGTTGTACACCAAATCGGGCCAAATTACCATTGACAACACTACTGTTGGTAGACAGACGAACAGTAGCGTGGATCGCCAGGCCATCACTAAAGAAAAGGGATAGAATATCATTTGAGCAAAAGTCGTTCAGTTTCCTAAGAAGCACGTGAGAAACAAAGAACAGATGAGCAATTCATTCGCTAGGAAAATGGCAGTGGCCAGCAGTAAGAAAGGCTTCAGAGAAAGTGATTTTGTTTGCAGCTGATGGCGAGGCAGTCAAGAAGTGGAGTAGCGTGGAAAATATGTTCCTCCTACATCGCAGGTGTGCTTGACAATTAAACTTCGATTTTTTATTTGCACGAAAACAATAATTGCAAACTCAGGACCAAAGCCTGGGCAAAGGAGGTAAGAGACTGATTTTTTGTGTTATGTAGGTTATCTAGGCGCCAAAAGTGAGAATGGACTCCCCTGCTTTTGTACTGTACGGTTGAGTGAAGACGAGGGCGTTACCTGCTCAAGCAATGACTTACTTGCGAGGAATTCACACCCTCGTGCCAAGTTTACTACCGAAAAACCTGCTTATGCACTACGGTGGACAGTAGTGGAACGAAAGCACAAGCAGCTCTTACTATTCTGGTTATACCATCCTTTAAGCAATTAGAAGCAGTAAAAAAAATACCAGGTGGTGAAGATGTTTCCATTCAGTTTTTCTCTCCAACCCATTATCAAACTCAACGAGTATTTTTGTTGGATCGCTTTCCTGTTTGGTGGAATTTCCACTTCCCATTAGATGTTCGAGAAAGTGATCAGGAGGAAGGCTCAGGCGTTAATATTTAACTACTTTTGCCTCGATAAACAACTAATATCACCATTTATCACTACTTAGCATGATTATTTACTCGCTAACTTCTTATAACTGAGATTAACTCAAGGATAACCTGAAAATTGCTTTCTCAAGAAAATATCAGATTGGAAACTGTCAATAACTGCCCATATTTCTTAGTAGTCTGAGTATTCACCTCAAAGGTTGACTAGCTATTTTTCGAAGTTGGCTCTATTTATAGACTGAGCACCTGACTTCATGGTCTATATATGACTAAATAAATATTTCCTTTTATTCTATTTATAGATTAGGTATCTGACCGTTTTATGGTCATTATAATGCTCAATATATAATATAACACTTCCAAAAAAGGAATTGTATAATTTTAGACTAAAACATACCCAATCACTCCGTTGTTTACCAACTTATTTCTACTAGAAGAATCCCACAACAAAAGAAAGCAAACAACAAGAATATTCAAGCTTGGATTGCCCCGAGTAAAGGTCTATTTTGAAATGTAGAGAGGAAAGATGGTGCTTTGGCGCCACTATGATCTACAGATGAAATCGTGGATCGATACCTGCCCCAAGCTGCCTAGCCTTAAATCCATTCAGGATAGACCGAATGATGAAACCAGGTAAAACCACTCGGAAAAACTAATTTTTCTCTTTCATAATCATCTAGCTGTTTCCCATTTACTTTCCTCCCTCCTGTTTTCCGTGTCATCCCGTAACCACCACCCACCATCTGAATTACTCTAGAGGTCATATATGAACTCAAACGCTAACACAACTCAGAACACGATTCATTCACGCTAAGTACATGCGAATTCTGGAAAGGTGCTAGTTTACGAGGAAGATGGGTTGTAGATAATAAAAAAGATAGTACTTGAAATGAAAAGGACAATGAACTGTACCTACTATCGAGATGAAAAGTAAAAGACGCCTGGGAAAACCACAATGGCCGACTCAATGCTCAATGAACTCAAACCGGTTAGAAAACTCATCAACCTTCATAATAAAATTGGTGAGGTAAGGGAACTCGAAGGGGGCAGGTTGGTGTCGTGAAGTTTACCTCTGCCTACTTTCGTGAACTCTGATAGTTCCATACTTCGACTTATAGTTTTCAGAGCGCATTTCCATTGATCTATCTCATTGCGGATAAAGAATTCAGGGTATGAGTGTTCCCAGGTCTCATTGCGGATAAAGAATTCAGGGTGTGAGTGTTCCTAGGTACTAAAGGAAGGGGACAAAGGAAGGACGCAAACATTGGGTATGTCCTCCATAGGAAAGTTCCTATAAAAAGCTAATTTTCAAATGAATTTAGGCGAAATAAATCTGGAAAAAACAAACAAACGAAAATCTGATTTGAGAAAATTAGTGGGCATCTAGCATCCAGTGGTGCGGTGTTCGACATGATTGAATGATGCCGACGAGATGAAAGGAATTCGCTGTTATCGAAGAAAGGCAAACCGGTCAGAAAACTTATCGACCTTCATAATAAGTTTGGTCACAAACATCGGACACAACCGAGAAAACTTTTTAACTGACTACTGGTTAAGGTGTTCGCTGAATGCTGCCATTTTCGGCCGCCCAAATCATGAAATGAGACGTAAACTTCAAGACTGTCCTTTAGGGTCATTCTCCAGTAATGGGAAGGGCATCCTGATGGTGGCTGAACTTCTTTCATGCCCTTCTTGTTGTTTTCACAACTCCAAGGTGATCAGGTTTTTTCGTAGCCAAGATTAGATGACTGCACTTATTGTGGACGAATTGGATTTGCCTTGGAGGAAACGGTTGTGGTAGTACGTGCAGTGTATGAGTACAATTTTCAGAGCTTTACAGCTTTTCTAGGAAGGAAGCAGGTCTAAAGCCTTGAACTGCGGTGACGATCGAAGTTCAGGGACATCGCAGAAAATCACAAAATTTGTGACGTAAATGAATCGGGCGTATCACTGTTTCACTGTAATGTTCTTTGTAGTTTCCATTCGAAGAGGTCTTCCGCCCTACGGTAGGTACATAAGCTATGAGCTGTCAATTCATGAGCTTCACCGAAGGACATAATGTTGGTTTTGTCGCATAGGAAAACTTCTGTCAGCTATTCAACTTTCCAATTTCCAAAAAACTCCCAAGAGTTTCACTAGTTCCCGTTGTCCTTTCTACCTAAACGCACAATATAACTTATATGAATATGGCCTATTTTGCACATATCATACGGTTTCTTTACTTGTTTACTATGATGTCACATTTTGGTGGCGATTACCGTATATATTTTTACTACCCCGAGTTGAGTTAGGTTACTGTTGACTTCCTGTGAGACAACCAATGCCAACGCCTTTCGGTGAATGACTGGAGAAATAAATCGATAAAAAATAAGACAGTAAACAAACAAAAACAATAGTTTCGCGGCGTTAATCAATCCCGTCTGAGGACTGCCCGCCTCATTTGTCTTCCACTCAGGTCAGAAGAGTTTTGAATGCTTATGGGGCTCATACAATGAATTGCGTGCATAGCCGATGCACGATTCAGGGATTTTATCTTCCCACGCGAGACTGATACCATTTAACCTACTATGACGAATAAAATCAAAAAAAATTAGTAATTAAATAAGTAAGAAATCAACTGCCTTCCTCTATTCTGGGGTCTTCTAGTGTCTTGAAAGTGACCTGGAAGCTTAGTGATCAATGGGAAATGTTTCCCAGATACATGAAACCGAATTCGCTGAGATCCTTTGAACGATTGAGAATTAGTAGTTTTCAATCGAATCAGCCTTATTCAATCTTTTTTCAGTCTAAGATGAAATCTTCAAGCACAACATACAAGATGAAATGATGCTGCTGAGATGAGTTACAGGTAGAAATGTCGGCAGCGCAATTACACCATTCAGATGGGACAAAAAAGAACGTCAGAGAGGACGAGAACCCTCAAAGGTCAGTAGTCACGCCGTTGAAAATGCGACTTTGAAGTACCATTTCACAAAAGAAATCACTCACATAAAAAACGGACATACAACGAGACGTCCTTTGAAAGAAGAATGTGATCAGCAAATCAAAGTAATGCCATGTGAACTCAGAGAAAGGGCACAGCAACGATGGTTTTTTCCATTACAAAGGTTCTATCCCATAAATCACTGATTTCTAGAGACCCTCAAGAATCTCTCACTAGAATGACAATACAGGACATGGTTTAGTTAAAGAAAGAAAAGAATCGGAAAGATACCTAACCTCCTTGCTATCTCGCTTCTTCAAGTGCTTCAAGGGCTAAAGAAGCAGCGTAATAATCATAGGAGCAATATTGTAGGAGATGCAGTATTATACATNCCCCCCCCCCCCCCCCCCCCCTAGAGCTGTCGCTCTGGATGACATCATGCAATATGTTCCTAGGTCAATATGTTCCTAGGTGAAGGTTCTTTAAAATTTAAATCCGAATAATTGGCAAAAAGCCAAAAGTAAGATGATATGATAACGATTCACCAGCGTAAACTCTACTCAGCACACTGAACTCCCTGGAAATCGACTGCGTAGTCAGGTTAAATTGACTTTATTTGCTAATTTATCTGTTTGTTTATTTGTTAACTGGTCTGAAGCATTAGAGAGAATGCTTCACTATTGGGACAGCAGCAGTGGCAATATGCGCCACTTCTGCATGCTTGCTTAAGCAGATAGAGGTACATTTGAGCCAACAGGGCCTACCTCTGATCTTGGTCGGCTAATGCTACTTAACTGAACAGTCGAACACTCAAAAAAAGTTGAGCTACAAAGATTCTGCTGACTTCGAGGTTTACTTTTTAAAGATTCTTAAGGTGCGACATGTGTCTTAGACGACCAGACAGTCGTAACTCATGGATCGCACCTTTCGCCCAGCTTTTTACCCCACAACGCAAGGACATCCATATGAATTAAAGTGTAGACGAGAAGAAATTTGCGGATGCTGGTGAAAGTGAATAGAAAAAAGCAAACTGATGTGGAACAGAGCGAAAACAATCTATTGAGAACGAACTTCAAAACGAGTATGGCAGAAAGTTACCGGAACGGGGCCCAGAGGGCAAGTCATAGGCAAGTAGCAGAAGAGGAAGGTGATAAAGACAAAAAGTGAGCCTATCAAGTCTGATTCCAAGACTGATGGTTCCCATTCCTTTTCTCTTTTGGACCATTATCAGTGAGTGGAAACCTTATTTTCCGAAGGTAGAACACGAAATTGATCTTTGAATGTTATTCGATAGCTTTTTTCAAAAATCTGGAAGGTATTAGCGGTAACTTGGAGACATTGATAATATCTTGAAG